AAGAATTAATTATTTATAAATAGTTGTCAAACTCAATTCTTACTAACAAATGGCTCCTGACCGAGAATCAAGCCTGAAAAGCGAGTTTTACTCGTCAATATTCTCAAAAAAGGTGGGGTGTAAATACCCAAACTAGAAAGTAGACAAAAAACATTATATATTCTCCCGTTTGATTATTAACGACAGTTTTGAAAAATGATCAATACAGGACGATGTCTGCATTAAGATAACCTGTAGAAAATAAACGTTGTGTTGTTCAAAAATTTCTTGGAAATAAAGTTCTATAAATGGTATTCGATATTAGAGTAGTAATAATGTTCTATTCTGCTAAAGGTCTTGGAGTTTAGAGGAAGAAAACATTAGAAAAATTGTATAATGTACGTTTTATAGTTCACAGTTTGCTCTTTCAAACGAAGAAAAGGCGAACCTCCAAATACTGGGAAAAGAGTAAGACAGCAACCGAAGATTGTGTGTTGTTCGTTTGAAGGGTAGGACATTTTATTCTGATGATTCTATACCATTTTTAAAAGAGTTTTCCATATAGGAAATCGGAGATTCAGTATGTAAGACCAATTTCTGACTGAACTACAGAAGGATTAGCATAATTTGTACAGCATGTTTGACTTGTGACCAAGTCTTTAACGTAAATTGTTTGTAAAAATTCACCTGGGAAGATTTTCATTTGGAATGGATTTGTATTGGAAACCGCCGAACTTTTGCAGATTTATTTTTGTGTTTTAGCTGCTAAAGACAAATACGTCTTCATGAAAGATACGCTCGCAAAGCCAAATGCGTCGGTACAAGTGAGTTATACGGGAAAAGTGACATACATTGTTAATTCTACATCAGCCAATAATAATGCAAGAACAGGCGTATATTTTATACAAAAATCCGATGAGCATTCGGCTAACAAGAATATATCAGAAAATGTAAGTCAGGAAATGAATTTTGATGAACCTGCTTCAACGTCGTGCGGTTGTTTAAAATGGATTAAATGCTATTTTCGAAAATGGAGTGGAAAGCGCGAGAAACGTCCGCCACGCGCGACTTGGGAAGATCTTGCATGGTCATTTATCGGAAGTATTATAAGTATGGGTATTGTGGCTGTTTTGCATTATCGATTACTGCGACAGTAAATATATGTCTGAAAACTTTGTTTTTACATGATTACCGTTCATTTATTATTTTAGGAAAAATTTCATTTTTCTAATTGGATCATTTGGCGCTACAGCTGTTCTCTTATTTGCTCAACCAAAAGCAGTTGTTTCACAGCCAAGAAATATGATTGGCGGTCAGCTAATATGCGCCACAGTTGGTTGCATTATCCGTATATTACTAGTCGAACGAGAACAATCAGTCGCTGCTGTGTTGGCTGTATCAATATCTATTGTTCTAATGCAATTTACAGAAACATTACATCCACCTGCTGGTGCGACGGCGTTAATAGCAGTTATCGGCATTCACCCAAAGGAATGGGCAGGATTTGTGTTCATTTTTATCCCTGTACTTTCAGCTCAGTTGGTTATGCTATGTACAGCCTTAATCATTAACAATATATCACCAAATCGATCGTATCCAACGTTTTGGTGGTAACTGTGCTTAAAAGATGAATAATTAGAAATTGTAGATGATATCAAGGATTAACAATTTTTGAAATGATAGTTGAGTTGAGAGTGTTGCGATACAAATATATTAACTACACAGAATTGACGATGATTTCATCTTAAATTCTTCTACGTTTTCTTCACTCATCTAGCTTGCAGCAAAAAGGTGTCACCTACATAAATAGTATGTAGTCATGCACACGGCTGTGAGCGCAGAAGAAAGTAAATTCGATTCTGCAACTCGATTTGTCTAATCAGACTATCAATCAGGACTCTCGTTATAAGAATAGGGACTATGGAGTTCGTCAAACTGTTGTCAGTTGAGGACTAAGCAATAACTTAACGAGATCGGAAACAATTAAGTCCTCCAATTTCATGTTTCACGTGGATAACAATTACTAAGTAATTAAACTTTTCAACCACCATTGCTTCTCTGCTGAGCGGGTGAATTGTTGGAAAAAGTAAACAAAATGAGAGATCCCAAGTCTGTAGGTCAGGAACGGTGACCACCTTTTTTTGGGTAGGGACGACTCTTTAACAGTGTTTAACGGACTGACTACACAGTTGTGTCTAATAACGATAAAAGTCATCAGATTTAGCCATTTCTTAACCAGAGTTATGGACTGATAAAGATTTGACGAACATATGAGTAGCATTTACACGAGTCATGTATAAATACTGAAATCTAAACTGAATTTTCGATTCTTCTGTCACCCAATCTTTGTTTATTAGATATCTGCAGAAAATAGCATAAAACAAAAAGAAGCTATAGTTGGAGCTCCATCGACTCATCTGACACCCTGGATACCGTATAAATATTATTATTTTCAAAATGCGGGATCCTAGAATAGACAACTTTTTGAATAACTTTTGAAGAAAGATAGATGCAAACTTACGGTTTTCAGTATTTGAAGTACGACACTTCCCAACATCAAGCAAAGCACCCTTCAAACTTCGTTTTTCGATAAGGTTTCTACAATATCGTTGAATATCAAATCATAACCTAACAGATTCAAAAACAAATCTAATCATTTTTTCCAATTGAGAGATTGTGCATCTATCATTGTTCAATAGTTATGGAAAGACTGTGTGAAGATTCCGTGTTTTGGAAAGAATTATACGCTACGTATGAAAAAATGTCCTACTCTTTCAAGGAGCAGCTTCTCGTCTTCATTTCAAAGAGCAAAGTGTAAACCATAAAAGGTACATTATACAATTTTTCTAATGTTCTCTTCCTCTAAACTCCAAGACCTTCAGCAGAATCGAACATTATCACTACTCTAATATCGAATAAACCTTAATAAAACTTATTTCCACAAAAATTTTTGAACAACACAACGTTTATTTTTTACAGGTTATCTTAATACAGACATCGTCTTGTATTGATCATTTTTCAAAATTGTCGTTAGCAATCAAACGAGAGAATATATAATGTTTTTTGTCTACTTCCTAGTTTGGGTATTTACCTTTCACTGTACCTTTTTGCAGTGATTTTGTGGAGCTAACATTGTAGTTGCCCACAAGGCAAAAACTGGAAAAATCGCCTTTTCTCAAACATGCTTTTTTTTAAAATTTTGGATCTAGATATCGCGAGTCCAGCTTGACCAAAAAATAAATTATATTATTTTGTACAGTTGATAATTCTCCATCAATTGATATGTAAAAGAAAATTTTAAATCACTAGAAGAATGCTTTTTGGAGAGGTGCAAGTAGCGGCGGTGTTGTGCATTTATGGAGACGACTTTCAATAATTCATCATTTCTTCAATTTTTTTCGGTGCTTCGACATGCACCGATGTCAAATTCATAATCTGCGTATGATTCCTCATATGAAACTGACTCTAGAAATATTATTTTGAGTCTGATTCTATATCATATGGTCAAAGCAAAAATTCATAATCAACTAATTTTGCAAACCTATTTAGCTCCTCTGTTAACGGACGGAGCCGTGATTTACACCGCATTCGATTCATCTTTACACGGACAAAAAAAGTACGCACATCTTTTCTTAAAATTCCTTACCACTGCTGAGAAAATTATTTTTCTCTGAATAAGACGCGAAAAATTTACAATTGTGCCTGTAATTCTCAAGTTTCTCTATCAGAACTCAAGATTTATGCAATAAAAATATCATATTCGGAATCACAATCAAAAGCTGAGTCGAATGATATTTCGAAACGTTTAGCTGATTTTCCTTTTTGGGGAAAAATCTCGATAGTTTTTCAACTGGAAAATTTGATAAAAACTTAAAGTAGTCAGATAGGATTAAAATGCACAGAAAAGCTCTGCGTACTTTTTTTGCCCGTGTAAAGATGAATCGAGTGCGGTGTAAATCACGGCTTCGTCCGTTAACAGAAAATCAACTATACAAAATAATATAATTTATTTTTTGGTCAAGCTGGACTCGCGATTTCTAGATCCAAAATATTAAAAAAAAGTATGTTTGAGAAAAGGAGATTTTTCCAGTTTTTGCCTTGTAGTCGCCCAGGACGTTACCTTTCACTGTACCTTTTTGCAGTGATTTTGTAGAGCTAACATTTCTCTTTCATATGAGATACAAACGGGCGTAAGGATCACGCTGTTTCTGAGATATTAAAGAAACATTGATTCCATCCACAAATGGAGCTTGTGGTGATGACTGAAAGGTTAAGAGCCCCTAATTCATGAACAGTGCCATACCAAGGCGAGATATCTTGGATTTCTTAGTTTTTCGACGAGCTCTTTCGAATCAGAATACTAACAGAAAAAACAAATTTTAGCTCCGGCTGATGTAGTCGGTTCTCTCGCGGACTCTCTCTTAACAGTCAAATGAGAGAATATATAATGTTTTTGTCTACTTTCTAGTTTGAGTATTTACACCCCACCTTTTTTGAGAATATTGACGAGTAAAACTCGCTTTTCAGGCTTGATTCTCGGTCAGGAGCCATTTGTTAGTAAGAATTGAGTTTGACAACTATTTATAAATAATTAATTCTT